CATTTCATAAATTATATGCAAAGTTTAGTATTTCAAAAATCGAATTTTTTAATTTATCATAATTATAAAATTAAATTAATTACGATCAAAATCTAATCCCTTTATTCTCCCTATCCCTATCCCTATCCCTCTCCTGTATCTCCTCTTTCTCTCATCGTTCGCAGACGCTGTCGCCAAGAGAGCTCCGCGGGCAGAAGAACACACCGCCTCCAGGCAACGTCGCTGTGCACACCGTTGCAGCATTAACGTGTTGAACTAGTTTTTCTTTTAATTCCATTTTCTTCTGCTAATGAATGGTGCTGCCTAGAGGTGCGCCACTTCCCAATCGCTCTCAGGCCCTGAGAGATATAGTGGTATCCCGAACCACTTTTTTCTATTTTCTTTGCTCTTCTGCCAGCGATTCAGTGGTGGTAATTGGTGTGTGCGGTGGTATTCAATTCTTTGGATCCGATTTTGTTTGGTGGCTGTGGTGGTGAGGTGACGTGATGGCAGTGGCGGTGGTAATTGATAGTGATGGTGGTATTCGCTGTGGCGACCAATGGTGGTGGTGACTGATGGTGGTGGTGGTCGCTGTGGTGATTGATGTTGATAGTAGTGGTCGCAGAGGCAAGTGGCGTCGTTTCTCTGTTGTGGTGATGAATATATTGGTGGGTTGTGGTTTTGACAGGTTGTCAAGAGGTGGCGGCGGCTTTGTTGGCGGCGCTATGTTGTTGTGGCGGAGGTAATGGTTATAGTGATGGTAATTTTGGCGGTCACGGCAGTGGTCGTTGGTGAGAAGAAATGTAGTTGGATGTTTGTGACCAATTATTATGACTAATAATTGATGAATTTATAATATGTGACCTAAAATTGTGATTGTGACTTGCAATTAATTAAGTTGTGACTGAAAAATCAATCGTGACCAATTTATTAAATAATTTGCAATGAATATACGAGTTGTGATCAATAAAAGTTTTTGATTATATGACTAATGAATAATTTATGATCGATAAAATTTTTTATTCATAATCAAAAAATAATATATGACCTATAAAATTTTTGATTTGTGATCGAAAAATAAGTTGTGACTAAAAATTAATCCGTGACTAATTAATTTTTTGATTTGTGAATGATGAACCAACTGTGACCTACAATTTTTTTAATTGTGATTGTAAAATAATTTGTTACATAAAATTTTTGATTTGTGATATAAAAATAATTAGTGGCTAATTAAGTTGTTAATTTGTGACCAAATTGTATAGATATGTGACCTAAATATATTTAATTAATTAATTAATAAAAATTTTTTAATAAAAAACTACTTTTGAAATTTGAAACTTGTTTTCTTAATTTTAAAATATACCATACTAATATCTTACTTATAAATTTTCCTTTTAAATTCAATTTCTCACTTTTGCCATGTTTGATAACATATTTTTTTCTATGGAATTGATTTTCTTAGTTTCCTTGATTTGTGGAATTTTCTTGGGTTTCAAGGAAATCCAGGTTGATTTGTTGATTTTTTCCCCCTTTTTTTGGGCAAGGGAAATGAACTCTATCCCTAATTGTAAAAAAAAAATAAAAAAATAAAATATATATATGTAAAACAAAGTCAAACGAACAACAAAAGATAGATTTTTTTTTTGGGCAACAAAAACAAATTTCATCCCCAGTACCAATAAATTCTATCACTTTAATTGACATTTTTCTTGTAAAATAAAGCCCAACGAACACAAAAAACGCTTTTATTTCAACATTTTTTTCGTAGAAAATTATACCAATAAAACACTATAATTGACAATTCTCAGTAAAATAATTTCTAGGCAATTCAATTTCCTATAATTCGTTTTCTTTCCATCCAAATTTCATTTTTGCAATCAAATAGACCATAGAGTTCGTTTAATTGTAAAGATGGAATTGAATTGAATTGAAAACGAATTCCAAGGAATTGAATTGTTTAGAAATTATTTTCTTGGGAATTGTAAATTATTTCGTTTGATTGGTATAATTTTTTACGTGAAAAATGTTGAAATAAAAGTATTTTTTGGTATTCGTTTGACTTTGTTTTAAATGAAAATGTCAATAAAAGGGATATATTTTACTGGTATTGGGAATGAAATTTGTTTTCATTGCAAACTATATATATATATAAATTTATTTATCTTTTGATGTTTGTTTGACTTTGTTTTGAATGAAAATTGTCAATTAAAATGAAATATTTTTTTACAATAATTCTTAGAATTTGTTTTATTGAAAAAAAAAAAAAAAAAAAAAAGGAGGAACGTGAACAGTATGTTGGAAATCCTTAAAAGCCAAGAAAATATCATTTCTCAAGACAAGCAAGAAAATAAAATTCCATGAAAATTAAAACATATCAAACACACAAAATTGGAAAAATGTGGAATTCGAATTCCATTTTTCATGGAATTCGAACGAATCAAACAGCCCCTAAATGAATTTTCAATTTTTATTAAATTTTTGCACCGATATTCTTCAAATTATTGCAGATATTACTGAATAAATATTAATTACAAAAAGAGTAATAAAAAGAAAGAAGAAAAAAATAAAAGAAATAAGGATAATAACTTATTAATTTTCTGATAGTCTAATTTCCGGTTTGATTTTACTAAAAATCAAACCTTCTTTACTTTTTAACCATATATTCTTCAAAAATCTATTTTCAACAGAATGACCTCAAATTTATCCTTAACCCCTATTCGGTTGGAATAAAATTCACATTTTTAGTAAATTTCAATAAATATTAATGAAATGTATGATTAAAAAATTGTCAGTTACATAAAATACATAATTAAAACTAATTGTTAAATTTAACTTTAAACTCTAAATTTTAATTCTTACCAAACATGAACTTAAAATTATTTTTCCCTAGACAGGATTAAGATCTCAATTCACATGCTCAGTCATATTTATATAAACAATCATCTAAAGAAACTTGTCAAAATAATTTACTTCCAACTGGTGATTATCCTAATAAATTATTCTGTATTGAAATATGCACTTGGCGGTGAACTTGCCTAATAAGACAAATCACACATGTGCAGATGCACCTAATTCATTATTATTATTATTATTATTATCATTATCATTATTATTTTATTTTTTAAATTAAGTTATATCTCTTGGATTATCATGACATAGAAGATTGAAGTTAGTAACAATAATAAAGTAGAAAATAAGTTAAAATCTTTTTTACCGTACTTTTTCATTACTACTTTGAAATAGCATGAAGCATGCACTAAAAGTTTAAGGTCCATTGCGATCCATCCAATGATGCTAGCCCCGAAGATATTCCATCAGAATTCAGAATGTCCCTTGAATGCTCAGCAAGAGATTCCCCTTCACTACTTGGAAAATCCTTTGAATGCAACGGTATAGACACCCCTTCCCTACTGTGAATATCATTTGGATGCAATGGGAGCGATACCATTTCATTATTCGAGAAATCTCTCAAATGCAATCCCAGAGATACAACATCGTTACTTGCGAAATCCAGCGACTGCAATGTATTCTGTTCTTCACCATTATTCGGTCGATCATTTGACATTATAGTTGCAGATGTTCCATTACCAGAGAAGTCTTTCCATTGCTGAGTTACTGTTTTCGTCTGGGTGTAAAACTGAACTCCAACTTTACCTGCAACTCACGAGAATACCTTTTACAATTTAGGAACGGAGCATTCTTATAGATCAACAGTAGCTCAAGTGCATTTCTGTATAATCAAAATGTTTTACCGTAGAAATTGGTATCTCCGGTAAATGATGCCTTGGACCCCGAAAATGATAATAATGGTAACGGTGTTGGAACAGCCAGATTGATGCCAATCTGAGTCCATTCAAAGTTCATATCAGAGCTCAAAGTTAAAATAAGTTGTTCAGACTGCTTAAAGAAGAGAGTTAAAATGGTGAAAAATGCACTTACTTGCCCAGACTCGACCTCATTCTGAAATTTCCTTGCAGCAGCACAGGAGGATGTAAATATGGAAGCTCCACTTCCATGTCTACTCAAAAAAAAAATAAATAAATAAAAAATAATAAAAAATAAAAAAATAGAACAATTTAAATCAGACGAAAACTGACAAACAAAAGATACAAAAACTTGTGGATATCCAAGCAGAAGCCATACTTGTTTCTGTTTACAATGCTTATTGCCTCTTCTAAAGTTGCAGCCTGAGCACGAGAAGTCAATAAGTAAACAATTATGTGACTGAACATAGAGAAATAAGCAGCAACAAACAAGACATGCAATACGTGAAATAATAAACCAACCTGCATACAAAGAAGAACTGGACCCAAAATTCCCCCCTGCAGACACCAAGATTAATATTTATCAAGGTTCACATTTCCTCTTGCCAATGCTCATAAATAATACACAAGGTTCAGGTTCTCAGAACAAGAGACCAGATACCTTATAACCCTCCATGTCTTCTGTTACATCAGTCAAGATTGTGGGACCAACAAAGTATCCCAGCTCATATCTAGGAACCTATTTTATTCAACAATAAACAGTAAGAGTAAAAAAATGGACTAATACTTTCATTCACTGACAGAAAAACACTGGTGGGGGGAAATATTTCACAAGTATCTAGTATCAATGAAGGCACTACAAGAAAAATACAAACATTTATTTGTCTCTATTAAGGTTCAGTCTGGCATCACTATAATCTGTACACTCGATGCGTGCAAAATTATTGCTCCATTTACAGCCTTCAATTTATTTATAATTATAGTTTTGACATTAGTTTCTCTCATTTTTTTGCTTTTTATGTTTCTTTTGAGTGTGTGTACTTGGATAAGCCAGCTGATAAATACGCATCAGGAATCACATGCATATTCTCCATCTGAAAAAGTAGAAATTTAGAGCAGGAAGATATACCACAATCTTTCGCCCATCGAGGACTAATTGAGCACCATTGTCAACAAATGTTTGCACCACCCTGGATAGCCGTTCCTTAACCTACATATGCCCGAGATAGCACATCACGTATACTAGGCTATAAGTGGAATGAGGAGAACCGATAGGCCATAGATATAGCTTTGCTTGTATTATTAAAAGCAACAATTGCAAAACATTTCATAATGCCATAACATCCTCACTATACAAATTTAGTTGAAATTGATAAAGCAACAACATCTATGACTGTACCTGCTTACTAATCACAGGACCAATGTCCACACCTGGTTCAGTTCCAGCATCTACTCTGAGTGCCTTGGCGCGCTCCACTAACTTATCTTCCCTGGGGTGGATATTAGAATACTGTCATACTAATATATTGAATATCCACTCCCGAGCAACATTCAACCTCTTTTAAGATGATGTAGGAGATTTTTGAGTTGCTCGTCCATCATCAGCAATTAAGCAGACAACAAAATTTTCTTAACCCAAACTACCTTGGGGATAAGTAGGATTGCTCAGGTTTTTCACCCTGATGAACAAATTTCAACAGAACCAAACAAAACCATCATGCAAAACTAAAAGAGAGTAAGTATAATACCAAGATTTTGAGCCTCCAACGAATATGATTGCCATACACCTTTGTACTGAAGAACCTAAACCAGCAGTAACCAGAGCACTCAAACTCGCCTCCATGTTTGCATCCGGCATCACTACTGCATGACTCCTGGCACCAACATTGATCTGAAGAGAAAAAAAATTAACTAAGGCATAACAACCCAAACAATCTTAATATCCAGAAAAAAATGACCAACACTATCTATTCTCTAGAAACTAGAGCACGCGCAGTTACCAAACTGGAGAACTGCTCTACCTGAACACACTTACTGTTGACAGATGCTCTTGCATGAACATACATTCCTGGCTGGAAACAGACAAAGTAAATATGTAAGGATATAACTAACCGTAAATAAACAGTATAATCATAAAAAAATAATGCAAATAAACCAAGATAAGTGAGGGTCATCAAACTTGTGCTTTATTTAAAAAGATGAGTCTACTTATACACCATATCCTAATACTTTAGGATAAAGTATAATGTTTTGGCATGCCATTAGAGTGTGGATTATTAATTCAAGATAAATCACAGAGTAAGGATGAGTGAGTGAGGGAAAAGACATGATCAATGGAGTGAGTGAGGCACTAGCCAAAAGTATGCAATGGTTGGCGTTTTAAAGTTACCAAGCGCTCACTTCACACAATTAGGGACACCTCTAGAAGAGGCGTAAGCCACCACATGTACAAAACATCATGCATCCGTACAAAGCCACATACATGATGTAGGCCAAGATGTCCGTGCACATGTGACAATGAGCTGCAGGTATGGTAACAAGCCCTCAGTCATATTATTTTTGATAGGCCCCCCGCTGAATAAAGTTCCAAACTTTGGATCTTTTTATAGTTGCGTAGGAATCAGAAGAAAAGATGTCAGGGCTTTGGTATTGGTAGATCATAAATGACACTTCCTGCATAAGATAGTGAGCATATTATTATGTGACTTGTAAGAGTGATTGGACAATTCCACCAATCCCAACAGTAATAAGTTAAGCGCTCTAAGGTAGAATATCAACTGATGCCATGGAGTGTGATATCCATTTTGACATATGAGGTAAATTCTTTTTAACCACCATCCTCTTACTGTCTTTCTCTATGTACATGGAAAGGAACAGTATCTCCACAATCTACTATGCAAATCACATTCTGAAGTAGCATTCCTAAAAGAACATTCCAACTCTGCATTAACTTCTATATGATTGTCATTCCAATGATATCCAGCAAATATTGTTGCAGTAAAAAAACTTACTGCGTCTGAACCAACATTTGACACAGATTTAATATCGTCATCATCACAGATAGCATTAACAATATCCTGCATAGATGTCAAAGACGAAAAATAATCAGTTAAGTGCATAACACAATAAAAGTAGGTTAACGTCATCTGGTTCAACACAATCTAAAGGAGTAAAACTAGGCATATAGGCAACTGCACCTTCTGGCAATACCATACCATACTCAAATATGTCAAAAATCCAAATATTAAATTCAACGGCATACAGATAATGTTACCAGAAATGATTACATCCATTGGACTGATTTCAATACAAGGATATCAAGAAGTACAGATTTTAACTAATGACAAACTTAGAGCTTACATTGGTGCCATGAACAATATTTAAGACACCATTAGGTAGACCAGCCTCCATTGCCAACTCAGCAAGATGCACGCATGCCCCTGAGAGCACAAATGAATGAAGAACGAAGGAAAGAATATACTAGTATCATAGGCAAAGAGTTTCTGTGCTTCTTAAGAAAATAACGATAGTTTGTGCACCAAAATTAGTATATATAGCAAATTTCATGCACAGCAAGGGAATGCTTTACAAGCGAATACAGACAACATTTCACACTACAACTCTAAAGGAAGATGATCAAAATGTAACATATCTTAAACTAAAGATATCTCGATTTTTCCAAACTCATTGCATCCTTTAGTTATTACCTGGAGCTTTCTCTGATGGTTTTAAAATAAAGGTATTGCCACATGTGATTGCAATCGGAAACATCTGCAAAAAATCGTAACACTTAGATAAAAAAACACAAGATAAACAAGAAGAGAATACATGCAATCATTGGAGAAAATTTAAAAGCAAAAAACACGAGAAACAAGAAGAGAATACATGCAATCATTGGAGAAAATTTAAAAGCAAAAAATAAAAAAAAAAATAAAAAAAAATAAATAAAAATTGAACTCCTAAAGAATAACATAACAGTTATTAGAAATTTGTCACTTAACGAGAACTGAAAATTAAACCAAATGATCCTAGGTGAGATCTTAATTTAAAATACATGCCTTCCCACATGTTTGCAGTTCCCATATCTTTTTCACTCCATTTTTCTCAAACTTAGGCATGGACCATTTTAGGATTTTAGAAGATGCATGGTAACCAACAAGAACTCCACTTTTCTCAACCTAAACTCACTTCTAGATGGTTAGGTTTAGATATGTAAAACACTAGGAAGGAGTCTTTTATCTTTCTGGTAAAGTTTCGTGGATAATTCATGGAGAAAAGCCTACCATAATTATTCATCCCAATTTACATCCAAAAATAGTCACACTAACTCTCCTTGATCAAGCAGTTATCTTAGGATGCTTCAATTGCATCTCCTGCAAACTATACTCCATTCTAGCAAGGAGATTTAGACTATTTACAAGCTCATTGGTAGTCAGTAATAAAAAGTGAACATACCGAAGAAACAACTAATGGCATATGGAAGAGATGTCTGGAGAGAAATAACAGCTTACCAACAATGGGATCATGGCCGGAAAACTGAAAGAACATATTCCAGCACAAACACCAAGAGGCTCACGAATGCTATAACTATCAATTCCATTTGATATATTTGAAACAAAGTCCCCCATCTGCAACATTGCCATTCCACAAGCATTTTCCCCCAGTTCTGCCAAAAAAAAAAAAAAGGTAACTATTGGAAATGATGATCTGGCAGCACTTGAGAATGTTCATTTTTGTCAATATTTTGAACATATTGAAACCGCCCTCCACCCCCTTCTTTTCTTGCTTGCATTAAATAGCCAGAGAGAAGATTTCGAACCAGTTCTATTATTATTTACTGGTAACTGTCATCCAGACTTTCCACTTTTCTAAGCATTATGGACTATGGACAAATAGGTAATTAGAGAAACCCTTTAGCTAATAAATTAACTTCACCAATCTTGCCAGCTTTAGCCCCCGTTTGGTTTGGCTAAAAATCAGATTTTTATTAGATTTTGATAAAAGTTGATGAAATTTGCGTTGTTGAAAAGTTGATAAAAGTTATGAGTCCAATAAAATGTGTGATTGAAAGTGAGTTTTAAAAAATTGGGGCCACACAGGGGCTGAATAAGATTCAGACACTTCCAATTATCTCAGTAGGGTCTATTTCAATCAAATTCCTGCTATTTAAATTAGATCAAGGCATTCTCTTTTCAACTCCATATCCAATTAAATTTAATTAATGGAGAATTACACAAGAAGAAGATAAAGTGCTCACCAATCCCACGGGACACGTCATTAAATGCATCTTTTAATGTCTTTCCTTGCTCTGTTGTAATAATGCTGGCAAGCTTATCCTGGAACAGAATTACAGTGTGTCCTATTAGTGAACCTTCGAAATCTGATGAAACAATCAATGAGTAGAACTTCAGTTACAATATCTCTCCGGATAAGCTCGTGCAGCTTGAACATGATTCGTTGACGAGTTGTAACTGGTGTATTCCGCCATGATGAAAAAGCTCTTTTTGCTGAAAATACTGCAGCCTTAAATTCCTCAACCGTCGATAAAGGAACTTGAGCAACTACTTGCTGTGTAGCCTATAATTCATATGCAAATTATACATGATAACAGCTGACGGAAAACAGACAAAGTTTGTAAAATGTTATGCACTTACAGGGTTTAACACATCAATAGATGTTGATGATTGCGAATTAACAAATCTACCACCAATGAGATTTGGGACCTTCTGCAAGATATAACATTAATAATTCAAATTGGATACGAGGTCAGCATGTGAAGTTGGTGATTACTCACTCAAGCATTTATTGGTAGGGTTGCCTATCTACAAGGGCAAGCTCCTGCAACAGTATCCATTTTTGGGGGGAAGGTAAATCTATTTGGTGGAAGCAGAGATGGCAGATAGATATAAAGTAAAAGGTGGAGAATCGTGCGATCTGGAGGTGCTAAAAAGAGGACTTGATTAGGGCACCTTTTCTTTTTGAAGAGATGCAGCAAATTCCCCAAAACTTTCAAACATATGCTATGCAAAACAATTTTTTTCCATGGTTAATAGAGCCCAAGAATTTCATTTCCAGCATAAATGTGTGGTTTTAAGACTTTGAGAACCCATTGTTATAGCCAGCATCAGAAACCCAACATCCCCAATTTCTTACTACAAATAATTAAGACTATCTGCTGGCTCAACACTCCCAACCTTCCAAAAAGAAAGCATGCTACAGAAAAACTACCAAGTTGGAGTATGTAAAATTACTGGTGGATAGCGCTTCTTCCATGACGGCTCAGTCGATGTTGAAGGCTCAGAGTTTCCTTCTGCAGCTGTAAGAGGTCTCAATGTCTTCAATCTCCTCACTACATCACCAGCATAAAATAATTCGTCACGAGGAAATGACAAGTATGAGAGATTGTCTTATTTCTCTACTTAGGAAAAAATTCATATGATAAATGAACAGAAGAGAAAATGGCAAGTGGGTGTGCAAGAGAAAAAGAATGGAGGGAAGGAAACAGAGAGGGAGAGAGGTAGAACCCAAAACATGAAGAATGTAACGCGCGTAGCTGCATGATATTAATCATGAAAAAACATCATTTACTTGTTGGAGGAGACCCACGAGTTTAACCCCATTAGTAGTGATATGTGTTGGAAAAGTAATGAAACGTCTATGGTTTATGCTAGGTCTTAATATGCAAATTTGTTTGAGAGATCTGGCTCAGATTGTTTTTGCCATTTCTGGAAAACCACTAATTTTCCAGCTTTTAAATGGATTTTTCTCTTTTAGATATTGGGAATCTGAAAACAGCAAGGCCGGAAAAGTATTACAAATATGTATGATGTTTATCATGCAGTTAATTTGATGCAGGAGAGTGCTAAAATCTATTAAAACAAACAACTTAATAGGCTTTGTGATGATGACATCGGACGACGTTTACTTATTTTATTTAAGCTTTATTTATTTTCTTGGACTATTATTTAAATTTGGACTTGTATGGGCTTGAGCCCAAGCTCGTTAGGATTGCTTTACTATTTAAACCTATTTTGCATTGTAATTTTCAGTTGATAATGAATGAATAATTATTTTGGTGGCTTATGGCGCATCCCTCCCATTCTTCTATTGAATTCTTTTTCTATCCCCTCGCTTAATTCCATATTCTTTCTGAATCTTTCTTCTGTTTCTATTAATTATCCTATTGGTGCTGCATCAAATTTGGTATCAGAGTCGAAACTTGGGTAAATTCTCTTCTAAATTCCAAAATTTCTTCCCACCCTCTTCCCAAAAATTTGTAGATCCCAAAACTTGTAAAACAACACAAAAACAATGGCGGTAGCAGTTTTTTTTTTTTTGTTTTTCCCATTTTATCGTTATTTGTTCTTCGTAAAAAAAAAAAAAAAAGTACTGTTCCCGGGTACTGTTCACCAGCGAAAAAAATAAAAAAAAAAATTTCGAGTTGTTATGTCACTGCTGCTGCTTCCTGCAAACCCTAATCCATACACACAATTCATTATTATTCCAAACAGTCCATTATAACACCCAGTCAAATATTCTAGTCTCCAAATCATTTAACCCGTTACTGAGGCTCAATCTACATTCACATAATCATAAGTAGCCCAAGTCCAAGAGGTCATTATCCACATCTCATATTCAGCCCAATAAGGCCATTACATCAACCCAATTATCCAACCTGGCCAATAACCCAATCTCCAGCCCATTTATCACATATTTACCCGAAACCCATAATTCCTACCCAAATATACCCACAAACATTCCTTTATCCCTACCCTTTCCTTACACAGCCCATTTCCCATCATAATCATCCAACCACTTACTTCTAGCCCAATTCCAACATCTCAAAAATAACCCTAGCCCATTATATACAACACTTAACCCAGCCCGCATCTACAATACCCAATCAACCCAAGCCCTAAACTCATCCTTTCCCGTCGGTATCCCATAGTCACCACACTCTCCACGACCGCCCTCACTGCCAATCGCCAGCAATCCACTGCCACGCCAGTTGTCACCTACCACCCGGAGTTCAGTTTTCGCTTTATTTTTCACGTCAGTGGACTTCTTCTGAGTTCAGAGTGCAAGGGACATTTGTCAAATTGGACTTGGCCTATTATTTGCATTGGGGCAGCTTGTTAAAACTCTTGAGGCTTAGTGTTCCATTCGGCGACTCGACTGCTTAGGAGTATTCCATTATAATTTTCTACTGGAGACATGCCAACTGGGAAATCATAATTGGGCAAAGTTCTGATTCTTTGGGTCCTGAAGTACATCGCTATCATGTTTACGCTTCCGTGGGCACCACCGCTGCAACTAAACAACAGGGAGTACCTGATTTATATTTGTCATTGGTTTACAATACTGCTTCATTTAAAATTGCATTAATTAAATTTTTGTGATGTTATTCTAACAATATACCTAAAGTCACGTGGCTGAATTCGTTGATTTCGTCAAAACCCTATTTTACCCCCACTTATATTACATGATTAGGTTTTGACTATTATTTGATCCGTGCTTTGTTATTTTACCTAGATCAACAGTATTTGCTTGCCATATTTGAATTTATTTAACCCTGAAAAAAATGCTTTGTTTGTTATTTTTCATTTTTACATTTATTGTTCATTGATCTCATCATTGCACGTCATTTAGCTGATATTACATTGCATGTAGTTGCGTAGTGGTCGTCTTGTCGTCTCTATTTTCAATACATTGACCATGGATCCATCCCCATTTGATGCACTCACTAGACAATTAGTGCAACTTACCACTAGCATATCAACTATCCAATCAGATATAATTGCTACTCTCGAGGAGAGAAAGAAACTAACTGATAAGTTGAGCAATTTTAAGCAAACCCCTCGTTTGATTGACACTAATTCTGAAGCGTCTGATAATAGACAATATCATCGTGGACAAAGTGATCAAAAATATTTTCGACGCGATCGTAGGAATAGGGATCAGGTTCGTGAGCAAGAATAAGGCCACGGTCATCATAGTACTCATTCTCTTCCTCGTCATAAGGAGGGTTTCTTTAGAGATATTGACTTAGATACTCCTACTTTCAATGGTTGCTTAGATCATAAAATTTTTACCCAATGGAACACACTTACACAAGGTAATCGGCTGGTAACTGAGTACATTGTTCAATTTGAGGAATTTAGAGTAAAATGTCATGTCGTTGAGGATGAGGCCCTGACTTTAAGTAGGTTTATACAAGGTCTAAGAGATGAACTTAGGCGTGAGCTTTTCTTTCGAGGCATCACTACTCTTGATCAAGTTTACTCTTCAGCTCGGGACTACGAGTTACTTATTAGTACTCCATATGAAAAGCGCGACCACCATCGTTCTCCCATGTCATTAGCGCCACCTCAACATGAGTCTGTTATAGAGCCTTCCCCGTCTAGTGTTCCTCCCATTTGGAAAAATAAGTGTAAAGGTCGTGATAGTCCAAGGCCCCCTTCTCCTTATAGAATGCGTATTGACAACCATTTTTCCGTCTCATTGGCTCCACCTCCACCTGTTAAGTCTCTTTTAGGACCTCCCCCGTCTAATGTTCCTCAAATCTTGGAAAATAAGGGTAAAATTTTTGAAACTCCAAGGACTTCTTCTCACCTGCTATGCATCAACTTTAAGGACTTTGGCCACATCTCTTCCAAATGTCCTAAAGAACGAAAGGATGTAATAGAAGAGTCGTTAGAAGATCTAGTCTATGAATATAAACTTGACGATTTTGATGACTTCGATGATAGTGAGGACACTTCCTTAAGTGGAATTCCGACCCTTCCCGAGACTTTAGAAACTATACCCTTTGTTTCCGACAACTCTCGATCACATGTTATATGTCATACACTTACCCAACTCAAAGAGTTTGATGACTTCACTAGTCACCCTTGGAGAATCCAGTCGCCTGCTCTTAGCACTAAATCGAAATTCTCCACTACTGACCAACCTCAAACTGATGGTCAAAACGAAATTGCTAACCGAAGTCCTGACAATTTATTACAGTCTCTAGTCCAGAAAAATCTTGGGAATTGGGACTCGATCCCCCCAATTGTTCACATTGCATATGATAATTCTATGAATCAGTCTCTAGGTCTAAATTCATTTGAAGTTCTTCATAGTTATAAGTCTACGTGGCCATTAGATCTTATTCCCATGTCCCCGCATGCTAGTGTGTCGTTATCGGCTGAAGCATTTGTATATCATCTTCATGACTTGCATATTGAGATCAATAAACAACATGACGCAAGTAATGCATTATATAAAAATTTTAAAGCATGTTGGTTCAAATGCACATGTCATTGCCCTTTCATCACATTTTGACTACCACTCTGCTTTAAATATTGAGGATTTCATTACTTACAAACACTGTATTACTTCCTTTGATGATCCATTTCTACTTAACTTTGTGGACTCCCAATTTGACTATATTGATATTTCTATTTTAATACTATCTATCACAGTACACAAAGATAAAATTGATGTTATTTTAAATGAACGTTTTGTATTGACCAATGATGGCAAAATTCAGTACTTCCTTGTTTGTTGGGTAGATCGACGTGCTTCTTATGCTCCTCATTATGTACAATCATGTGAAAATTTTGAAGATGAGGTGCATGAGTATTGATTATTTGGAGTCCAGTATTAATATTTTGTTTGAAGGAAAGATCGGCCCCTTTGGTTAGATCATATTCTTGGGAATACGCTATAGTTTTCAGTACTATCAATTATGAAATTACGTTACTTGGTCCGTCAGAAAGATCGTCCCCCGTGGCTTGACTTGAAGCATTTGGAGTATCAGATTGATTGCAGCCTATACTATCTATCCACTCGATAAGGTCAAGTTTTCTCCCACCCTGAGAGAGTTGATGAGGACATCGAACGGCATTTACTTATTTTATTTAAGCTTTATTTATTTTCTTGGACTATTATTTAAATTTGGACTTGTATGGGCTCGGGCCCAAGCTCGTTAAGATTGCTTTACTATTTAAACCTATTTTGCATTGTAATTTTCAGTTGATGAATGAATAATTATTTTGGTGGCTTATGGCGCATCCCTCCCCTTCTTCTATTGAATTCTTCTTTTATCCCCTCCCTTAATTCCCGTTCTTTCTGAATCTTTCTTCTGTTCCTATTAATTATCCTATTGGTGCTGCATCACTTTGCTTGTGAGATAGACTATTCTATCATCCTTGTAGGACGATATTGCTGGTGTACCCCTTTCTAATGTGCAGGTCCTTTCATGTCTTCTTATGTGCTTGGGGAAACCATGCTGAGCCAACCTAATTTCTTCTTATTGTGAAGAAAATCCTTCTTTCCTTGAGAAAGTGAGGTTTACACTTAAATTAATTGAAGGTCATGGATTACTATAAAAGTGCAAGAGGCTGACACGAGGCAGTGAAAAGATTATAATCTCTCTCAGATAAATGTATCTTGGAATTTTATAAGTTAAAAAGATAATAACTACTACGACCATGATAAGGATAAAGCAGATAATCAAATCGCATGAATGTTTAAAAATCCAAATTTTGCAAAGTATTATAAAGGGGACTGAACCTGTAGTGTTCCCCTGCCGGAGCTTGGCTTTAATGTTATAAACATGCTTTGGTGTTGATAAGAGTTCAGGATTGCTTTGTCTTAGTCTTTTTAGTATTTGGCGTGGTTTAAGACCCGCATCTGTCATCTCTTTGATTAACACTACTTCTTTCTCATTAAAGCGACGAGCAGAGGGATGCTCTGAGATGTCCTTCATTGGTTCATGGTTGTGTGAACCATTCTTAACAGTAAGTACCCACAAACCATCCTCCTTCTTACCCACAAGTTCAAAGGGACAGTTTGTAAGTCGAGAGCCAGATTTTCTTTTGCGTGCATGTTCGCCTGAGGCCTCGTCAATGGATTTACGCCTATCTCGATAAACACCTCCTCTATCACAACCGAGGACCACAACTTTGTCCTTCTTTGATTGTTTGATGGTAACAACATATATAATCAAATCGCATGAATGTTTAAAAATCCAAATTTTGCAAAGTATTATAAAGGGGACTGAACCTGTAGTGTTCCCCTGCCGGAGCTTGGCTTTAATGTTATAAACATGCTTTGGTGTTGATAAGAGTTCAGGATTGCTTTGTCTTAGTCTTTTTAGTATTTGGCGTGGTTTAAGACCCGCATCTGTCATCTCTTTGATTAACACTACTTCTTTCTCATTAAAGCGACGAGCAGAGGGATGCTCTGAGATGTCCTTCATTGGTTCATGGTTGTGTGAACCATTCTTAACAGTAAGTACCCACAAACCATCCTCCTTCTTACCCACAAGTTCAAAGGGACAGTTTGTAAGTCGAGAGCCAGATTTTCTTTTGCGTGCATGTTCACCTGAGGCCTCGTCAATGGATTTACGCCTATCTCGATAAACACCTCCTCTATCACAACCGAGGACCACAACTTTGTCCTTCTTTGATTGTTTGATGGTAACAACATATCCCTGGGATATGGCAAACTCCCCAACATGTTGAATAAGTTCCTCACGGTCAATGAAACTCCCAGGTGGAGGAGGAAGCATCTGCAAAGCGTCACTCAACTCCATGTAACTGGTCCCAGCCAAGCGAAGGACAGACTTACATAAAAGGGGAAATTAACACACACTTTCGAACATGATCAATAAGACCTTCACATTATGTCTTTACACCAGTCATCTGCAATGCCTGAAGTTACAAATACAGACTTTAACTTAGTTCACTTTCATCAAAACCTCAAATCATTATACAATCAGCATCCGAACAATTCCAGTTGAGTAAATTTGAACAAAATGATAATAACCTTGCGGCTTAGAAATTAGTAAAACAATTATTGTCTACAATTGAATTAATTCTTAATGTATTAAATAAGTCATATTATCAGTTAGATTAAGTTTGGCACTTGTTGGGGGTAATTAGAAGATACCGAGAAGGAGAAGAGGGTAGTGTACCAAAGACGGAGATGTGATGACGTTAGGGTTTCGTTTGCTCTTTCAGCGTCTCTCTTTTCCAGTCCGGTAGTGAAAACGGTGCCGTTTGCTTTCCCTGTAAAAGAGTGTGGAAACAATGATGGAGTATTGGAATTAGCGATATCCCACTTCCACGGGCTTCTTTAGCTGTAATTCGCGGCCCGATTAATTCAAAACAGTTGTCTAACCCGTTATTAGTTATTACAATTATTATCTTTCTGGTTTTTCAACTCCATTATTGTCTAAAGGGCTACGATCGCACATGAGATTGCATGCCAACAATTTTCACTTTAGTTCATTTTGGTCCTTTAATTCTTTTTCTTTTCATCTTGGATCCTCTTTTGTACTTCTTTTAAATCTTTTACATTTTAATTTTATCTAATTTGATATATGTAATCTTCAATGGTCGGATTCGAATCAACTTTTGAAGATGTGCAATTTAGTCCTCAAAATTTTCAATTTTTTCTTTTTCGATCCTCTTTGGCCAATTTTCACTTCTTTATATCAATAGCTGTCTAAATTCCAATTTATCTGAAAACAATCAATATTTAATCAAATTAAGTCGTAATTTCATCTAATTGATCCAAGTATCAACTTTTGACGGTTCGAATATAAATAAGTGTAGAAATCATACTTATCACTAATGGCTATGATATTCTGGATGATACAATAAACTTTGATGATTTTGTATTATCTCCATGTATTGAAGATGATGGTTGCTTCTGCTGCTTACAGATGTGGCCGAGTCATATAGTGTCTAGTGATAGACGCATATTTCCCACTGGAATGCAATATATAGGCATTCTTGAGCAACACTTGCTAATTGAAGGACGAATGTTTGCTATCCAGATGAGCATTCCAAAGGCCTACAATAATCAAGTGTCCAATTTCTTGCGCGTTGAAACCAGAATCGAGCTTTGTCAGCTGCTTGGAGTAGCTTTCCTGATCCATAAAGGTTCAAAACCCATTTTCGACCAAGTTCACTCGATCCTCTTGGGCCTTGGAATCAATCAGTTTTCTTCCACAAGAAATTTCCAATGCCACAACAAAGCTGTAGATGTCGCTTTCTTTACTAGCTCTGCCCATGGTTGCACATTCGGCTGCCATGTACAATGATAAAGTGTTTTACAAGCTTATCTTGGTCCTATAACAGCGTTCATCAAACGAATTTCTATTCACTTTGTGTTGTTTTCAACTTTTAAAGGTTAAATCTCCAATTTAAAGATAAACTATGCAAAATGAAGTGATTTGAAGCTTAATTGGGCAAAAATGAAAGAATTGCACAGGTGCCGTCTTGTTTTTGCTCCAGTTGGAACGCAGTGTTACTATCCCAGGATTTGTTCCATTATTGTTGCAGCCAGAATTGAGTTAGAAGTAGGGCATAGAGCGACCACCCTGGATCTGTTCCATTTACTTCAAGAGTCGTGCTAAAACTCCACGAGTAAATGCTATGAAATCTCTGTCTAATGTATCATTTCTGTAACCAGTGAAGACAAAACTCAGATTTTTTGACTCCGAATCATAACTTATTCCGCCAAACTCTATAGCTACAAACGGATTATTAGTCGAGTTTAATGGCTCTAATCAGTTGTTAGTCCCATGCCCCCGCCTTTCATTACATTATCTCGAAACCAAGAACCAGCAGGTGCAAGGAAAAACAAGATTCCATGTACATACGCATTTCTGTTAAGTGAATTGATGACAAACGAGAAATTTGTCGTAAAATCTATGAGATTTTTTTAAGGCCTTTTACCAAAGCTGCATCGGCTTGGCATAAACCTGCTTAAGCTCGCAATTGTACTTGCTTAGTTGATTTCATTCAATTGGATGACATTGCTTGCTGCATTTTCATAATTTATGCTAGGATAGTTAAATCCATAATACAATAAGAAAAAAATATAAAGAGCAAAACAAAAGGATTTTAAGGTTTCTTGATAAACTCAATAAACGAAAATACAAGAAAAAGAAACTTTAAATAGTCTTATAAGCAAAGAAACAAAATGACTAATCTACCATTAATATAAAACTAATATATTTAACAAGGATCATTGGTAATGAAACTGCTGAATTGAAGGATAGTGAAGCTACAAAAGGGATTGTCATCAGATAGAAAAAGTGATTATTTTGCGAGAAACCATGGCTGCTGGAACATCTAACAGAATTTCATCAAGAAGTCATCATCTATATGAGCTATGGCAAAATCTTGTGCAAAATCGTCTTATTCTTTAAATTCTTTGAGGCCATCAAATCTGACTCAGTCAATACAATGCTCAATTAACTATTATTTCCTGATTCATTATTAGTAATATTGCCGTTCTTATAAGTGAAGAAATATCTTCCATAAATACGGAGATTTGTTTGCTGAGTTTAAGATATTTGTTCCCTTGTACTTTTCAAGCCTCAAATAGAGGAAAATTTTTGAATCTTCCACTTTTTGAGACTTGACTTTCTGTTTGTCAAGTCCTTGCTCGAGCTGGATTTACCCAAATCTGTTTGGGAAATTTTTATGAACGGTTCAAATTATAAATAGATAGAAATGAGTGGTGATTAAGTGTGCTGTCCTTGTGGATTCCTTGAAATGTTCCGATAAAAGTGGTTTGAAAGCTTATAAACCGTTTAATAAACATGAGCCAAGATCCACCTTGTTATCAAAGTAAATCGATGTCCTGAATTCAAATCTTGTCATCGCTAATTTGCGAAAATTTTACCTAATCAAGGCTTGCGGATGGAAACAGTTCGGCTGTACCCTCTCAAAAAATAAAAATTAAAAAAGTGAAGTAGCCTAAGCTATCTTGCCTGGCTATTTAGACTTGTTCCTATTAAGTCATCACATTTTTCTGTGTAAATTGAATTAACTTGAAAATCTACATGGATCACGACACAATTGACATGGTAAGTGTTTGTTATTAAAATGTATACATTTAGTCAATAAAATAAGCAAATCTGAATTACCTCGGGTTCTAGCATATGTCCATCCAAAGGCAGGCCTTGAGCAAGACAAATTAATAATACAAAATGAATCCGCGTTTTACAACAATCATGCAAGTAGCTTTCATTCATTTCTTATGAAACTTAATTTTCTCTGAAGAAATTTTGATTTTTTTATACTGTGACATGGCTGTTTGCAAGTACTCAAGGAGTGTATCAGTTTTATTATTTCTCACGATCCCATTTGCATCGCCATTGTACTTCAAGCTGTCCATTATCGGTCCAAACGATGCAAATCACCATATAAAGACGATATGGGACACATATATTTCTCCACAGGGCATCCAGTGACTACAGATGAGAGCGATAGGGCTTATGGCGGTAAAACTGGCCGCGCCACTTATATTGAACATTTGCACCTCTGGGACAAAGCTGTAGATATTATGCCCTAAGTCCAATCAACTTTGGACATAAATACTTTTGATATATAATTAATGCAATTTAATGGCAGATCTATTATTTAATTAATAGACAATTAAATAAATAATAGAGCCCGTAGATTCAAATTTTCGTAATTTGTTAATCACAAGGAGTTGTGATTGGGAGATACAAATTACATCTGATTGAATCTTAAATTGTCCGTGGTCGTATGTAATAACGAGACACGGATATCGTTATTACGGATAGATCATCACGTGTGACATTTCTTACTTGTGAAGTAAGTAGCTGATCTCACAAGTTAAAGTGTGATGACACTTAAATGAACTCGTGGATGTTTTGTTATGGAACAAAACATTGGAGACCCTCCAAAAGATTCCATATGGATAACTATCTGAGTGTCAGCGGTTAATCTCTAACGTTCGATAGTGAAATTGGTCCTTTGACTTGAGGTCGTCATGGTACCTTATATGAGGACAATCATACTTTGACGTTGTTGGATGTTGCTCTGCAAAGGGCCGCTAATACGACATCGTTCGGGTACGACAAGAATCATATGAAGGTTGTGATTGACTAATAAAGGATTCATTACTCTTAGATAGTAAGAAATTACGATCTGCGTTTCATTCAATTAAGTCGATGACGAAAATCCTTGACCAAAGTGTACTCATAAGTCGAAAATGAGTTTTCTACTTATATTAACTTAATAGTTGAGTGAAAGCTATGATCGATAATCGAGATTGACACACTTCCATATTTCGTAATTGATTGGATCATATTGACGAAGGGATTATAGTTTTACGGTAAACGAACGAGTTTGATTTTGTCATACCACGTGACATTTTCCGTCACATGTATTGCCCTGACACATTGTTAGATGTCAATCTGGGATGATGAGTGTGAATTGATGATAAATTAAAAGGGTATTTTAATTTATCAATTTTGATTAGATCAAAATAATATTTCACGTTGTTAGGTATCGTGATCGAGAACCTGATAGGTCACACACAAAAGCGAATTGGAAGATTGCAATTTGTCAATTAATTAATTTAACAATCGTTGGATAAATTAATTAATTAGATTGGTTATTTATAGACCCGAATTAATTAATTGGATTAGTTAATTTACGGATTGGATTTAATTAAATGGATTAATTAAACATTGGATCAGACCAGGCCAGGCCCGTTTGAACTTATATAAATACATGGCTAGGGTTTTCAATCCATTTGTTTTTCTCATAATTATTTTTGCTAGCACAAGAGGAGAAAATCATGGTAGCTGCAATCTTGTTCTCTTTGTGGATCACCATTGGAGGCTGGACAATTGGACAGCTGTGGGTGGCGAATCAAGATTGCTGGAACGAAAAGAATAGCAAAGAAATTTGCAGATCGGGAAAAGGTACAATTTTATCACAATTTTTATCTAATCACAAAGGCGATTCTTGGTGGGAATCGAAATCTATTTTAATTTTTCGCTGTGCATGTTATGTAGATTCCCAACAGTAGTATCAGAGCCTACTTTGTGTTTGTTAGAAATTGACTTGGATGTTTGTGCAATCAAAAGTTGATTGTTATTCCTTTTTCATGTTTCTAGCAATTGAAGAAAATTTGATTTTCTTAATTTTATAAATCTTAATTAAAAAGAAAAAAAAGGTAAGCGCGCAGTTGCTGCTGGTGCAGCGACTGGGTATCACCGCCGACGACACCCACCCACAAGAATTAAGGGGCGGCACCAATCGTCGCCCCCGAAATTGGAAAGAAAAAAAGGTGAATTCTCTAGGTTTGACAGACAGTTTTTGGGCGTTTGGAGGCGGGGGCCTC